ATTATACAGCTTTTTCGAGATTTCTGATGTTTTTCTTCTCAGATTATTTTCATGAGCTCTTCTATAGCGTAATCTGGACTTATGTCTTTGAGACTTTTTGGATGCAGAATCTCACTATTGAAGATAAGGAGAAAGGAGAATGGAGAAAGGAGAAAAGGTATTGGAAAATAAATTCTGAGGTATAAATAAGCTTGGGATAAGTCAAATCACGGTGCATTGCCCTTGAAATCTCAAGAATGTGATGTTTGTCTTTCTCTCGGGCAAAATAAAATAAAATAAAATAAAATAAAATAAAATAAAATAAAATAAAATAAAATAAAATAAAATAAAATAAAATAAAATAAAATAAAATAAAATAAAATAAAATAAAATAAAATAAAATAAAATAAAATAAAATAAATAAAATAAAATAAAATAAAATAAAATAAAATAAAATAAAATAAATAATAAAATAAAATAAAATAAAATAAAATAAATAAATAAAATAAAATAAAATTTATCACCATATATATATGTCACGGTCAATCCGTGTAAGGGCTGGCGAGGGCACGTGAGTAGCCCCTATAGGGCTACTTCGGGCCGACGCCAACTTACACACAATTATAAATTGTAGAATTTTCATAGTTTAGAAGAATTAATGAAAAGTCTTTGTGCTACATTACACCTAGTTGATTCATTGCTATTATCTACTCTAACAATATATTCGAAGTTATTCAGAAAACTACAGCTTATTCCTTCGCTGTAAGATTTGAAAATCCATATTATCCTCCCTTTGTTTGAGAGAAAGAGAGACTGAACTAAACTAAAATCACAAGCGATATCAAGTCACCCACATACGACGTCTGATTATAGTTTAATTATTAAATTATTACTAACTAAAGAACTGAGCTTATAGATTCCTTGCATCCAACTACTTCAGAGATCTGAACCTCGGGTATCCTGTAAAACAACACGTTCGAATGCTCTTTATTATGCACAAGTGAGACTGTCACTTTTATTGCGACTGCGTCTACTACGGTAATGCGACTAGGGTAGTACTTTTTAGACCTCGGTGGTAAGCTTGCAAGAAATCGAAGTGTATGATGGTTCATACTGATGGAACCCTAAACATACGTCTCCTCGAATCCCAGCTTCTAGACTTAAAGTCCGCGCGTACAGTCACAGGAGAATTACCATTTTGAGCTGTGATCTCCTGGACATTCGACTCCGTAGCATTGACCTTAGCCTGAGCAAGCCCAATCTTCTTATTCTGCAAATCCATGACAGCATAGACTGCCGAGAAAAACGGGGCTCCGAACGAGAGGAGATCATCTTCATTGGCGGTCGGGTTGACCGGAACGACGCATAAGTTGTTACCATTGTTATCCTTCGCCTGCGTTCCATCTTGGTTCTTTGCAGGCGTGAGCATCATCTCGATCGGGACCTGGATCGTGGTTTCCGAGAAGCCGAAGACCATGTTCATGCCCTTGTTGGCTATGTCACAGGTGACCTGCATTGAGCCATCCGGGCCTGGGTTCGCGTTGAGGGCGTTGCCGATCGCTTCGACGGCGGGTAATGGGATGTCAATTGAAGGATTTCCGGTATCCAGAAGTACGGGAGTTTGTTTGTTTGGTAGAGCTATATTCGTGGTGGCACGTTTATTGTTGGATCCTCCTGTGATTGCGAGAGAAGTAGCTGATATTACGAAGTCGGTAGCTTGGCCATTGGCATTTTCGAGTATTGGTAGCATGGTCATGTTGCCAGTGAACTTGGCGGTATCCATACCACCAAAGATGATCGAACCTTCAGCAGACCCTGAAATAAATGTTAGTGCAAAATTTTATAGGTAAAGAAAAGGAGACACATACTAAAATCGTTGAGGTAAATACCATAAGCAGCGGTATTGGTCAAGCCTGCCGATTTCATAGCCAATGGGAGGTTCTCATATGGCGTTGGGTTCTGATCCGTCGCAGAGAACTCCTGAGCTGCAAAACCAATCCCCATAACTGGAAAAAGGGCGGTGGGTAGAAACCCTTGTGTACTCAGACCCATGGTATTGTTCTTGAGTTCAGTGTTCCCAAGACGGATCGAGTCTTGCATAAATGTCCCCGTGACATTCACGCCGCCACTATAGATTGCAAAAAAATTCGGCTTTCCCGCCACAAAGGTAGTAGAGCTGTTGGAAGCAAAAGACCCTGTTGAAAACTTCTTGTCGGATGCAATGCACTGGTTTTTAGGATCGGCGCAGAGTTTGCTCCCAGTTGCCGGCACCCAGAAGTCACTGCTACCTGTGTCCAAGATGGCGGTCATATTCTGCGGTGGGTTGCCAACGGCGACGTTGACTGCTGAGACGAAAGGGTCACCATTGCTGACTCGAGCTATGGGGACTTGAACAAACTTTTGTGCGCAAGAGAGGTAAGGAAAAGTGATGGCGCTCGCCAGGAGTGCAGAAGCGAAAGTAGTTCTCATGTCAAATATAATTTAAGTGAACGAATGAATAAACAGAAAAAGCAATGTTAGTTGCTGTTTAAGTATCAAGAGCTAACCTCTAGATTTTATAGTCAGGCTGTAAGGAGTGACATCTAACTCATTATTCCAGAGCGATTCCATGTTTCAGTATAAGCTCATGCGATCGCTACCGGCAAACATCATTCCAGAAATTCTGGAAAGGTTCGCGACAATGGAACAATGAAGAGCCGGAAGTGTGTAAAATCGGTCCTATACTCGAATAGTTTTCTTCCTCATTGAATACAATCCCGTTCTAAGCATCTGCATACTTTGCGTAGCCCGTAACAGAAGTTCGAAATCCCTCAAGGGGGTGATCGTTATTCAAACGACAACATATAGAGTGTGTTTCAAATGTCAGAATAAACTTTTTGAGGGTCTGAAATTCTGCAACTCACCCGTTCTCATGTTCTCAACTCCGTCTTGTAATACTTGGAGAATTTCAGCCCCGCGTTTCGCACTCAAAGTTTATTGGAACAAGGTTACTACTGCACATGCTATCAAGTTGAGCGGTTGATGATAGATCACAAATATTTCCCCACAGTTACAGGGACCTCTACTCGTATTTGAGAATATTATTTGAGAACGTTCGGAAAGATGTTAAAAATGGCCAGCAAAGTCGGAATCTCAGTCTGTACGTTGTTTCTGGGTACGAACTTCTGATTGCAATAATACCAGAGAGCCCATGGGATTAATCGTAATTTGTCGAGTTGTGATGATGTAGATTTGTAATTGGAGATTTTGAACAGCTAGAAAATGATTAAGATTTAATTGAGCTGACGATAAGGTCCACGAAACAGAGGATAGCTACCAAAATGGGATACGCATGAAACTCGTCTGACTATGCAATTATCTGATTTGCGATCAGATTCAATTGCGACTCTAGGCGCCCAACGCCTTACCGGCATTATCACTGCATCGCACGGATACGATATCTCTGAGGCAGTTTACACAATTTTCACGAAAGGCGTAAACAAGTGTTCCATGCGGCAACAAAAGAAGAACTTGGCTCATGGTTTGACGTGTATCAGAAAGTGGCTCAAGAGTAAAGAATTATGCTTAAGAAAACATTCAATATTAACGGTGTAATATGAATGATTCTAAACATTCAATCGGAACTATGGAATCAATTCGATTAATAATCGACTCTGCACTTCATACAAAATATCAAACGCGTCTAGATTGTAGGAATGAATTCTTCTACCACTTGGAATGCTCAAGGACAAGAACATTTCTCAAAATTAGTTTTCGAAGGAAGTTCTGGATCATAAATTTTTCGCAGCAAATACAAAGGAAAGTGTTGGACAAGTAATCTTCAAGCCCGCATTAGAGTCTCCGATTGAACGTGTAAACTTATCCTAGGGGTTGAGCCCGAGAAAGAGAGGCAAAAAATGTGGTTTCTTATGTGTGAAATATCAAATGACCCCATATCCACACGTTAGGAAGCTTCGAGGCATCTTCTCCATCTCTTTCACCGTTCTCTAGGAGCATCCTCAAAAGGTGCCACGTCCTCGTGGCTAGTGGTGCCAATTGAGTCAATGGTCTTCCCAGTGTCGATTTCTATGCGGAAAAGCAATCGGGGTGTGAGGCTTCGGATGGGAACGACTATTGGCTTTCGTTCCCTTGAAATGGTTGAACCATATAGTAAGCTGCTGAGCCTCGACTTGGCAGTTCTACATAGTCATCGACCTATGAAGGACATTAATGATGATAATAATTTAATATATAACTTATCAATTTGATAAGAAAAGAGGGATTCCACAAACTCACAGTCTGTAAAATTCTTGATCCCCGACGACTAATTATGTCCATATCTTGTATACCTACTTTTCGAAGAGAATTACAGGTTCAACAATTCAATATCAGTTTGTATTCTCAAATTAAATTAAATGAATATAAACTCCCGTATCTCCTTCCAAGAATTATATTCCCAAAAAAGAAAAATGCAGCGCCCAGCCCTATACTTCATCTCTCATTCAATAACATTCCCATCCTCGGTATATCATTCTTCCCGTCTCACATAATACAGCGTATTTCGTTTCGTTTATGTAGCTAACGAACAAGCAACCCATCATTCGTCAGAGAAAATTACGTCAAATAACATCATGACATAAATTTCTCGGCAGTCATATCGCTACATCACGCCCGTTTAGCTCTAGTGGCTTCGCCTCCCCAGACTTGGGGGCACTGCTAGACAGATGAAAGATAGCCAATAATATTTGCAATCTTGCGTTTTGAGGTATGTTTGCGCAAATGATGGCGTGGTCAGGTAATGAGAACATGATTTACGAATGAATCGGATGAGAAAAAAGGGAGAGAAACTGATAGATTTTCATAGTGCGGCTGATGGTTGGAAAATATATAGAAGAATGTTTGTGCCGCTGTTGAAATTATTCAGTTGTTCATCATTTTTGGAAGTTGGAGAAGTGTCTTTCTTGTGTTACCTCGGGACTTGGAGGTATCCCTTACTTTGTGATATATACGACTGCAACTTGACCACGGCAACAAAATATAGTATGGAGAACGGCAAGCCTGGTATGTGTGCAGTTGAAATTTCAATTGAAAGTATATAAATTAATTATCTGTATTTAGTCGATGATAGTCTCTACTTCTATGCGCCTAACAAGGTAGCACCCGTTATATTTGCGGTCTTGATAGCGATTTCTATGGTTACTCATGGATATCAGTGCTAGTATGTTTTTTCCTCCACCACACAAATTTCCTTTGGCCATCAACATTTTGTTCGAGGTATTATGCTAATTGCTTGAAGTCGTTACAAATGTTGGAAAGTAACCGGACTACTTCCATGGTGCGGATGTATATACCTTGCCGGTTTTATCCTCAGAGAAATTGGTGCTTTTCAGTATAGCAATCTTAATATATATATCGCTAGTATAGTTCTGCTTTACGCTGCACCGTAAGTCCTACCCCTATTTCTCCCTCGTCTCCTTCTCTACTCTCGCTATCCACCAAGACATACCCGAATCCGCACTAAATGCAAACCAAAACACAGACCCATCTACGAACTAGTAAACTACTTCATCCTCTCCCGAATCCTCTACTACGTTCCTTATCACTCTCCTCTCCATCCCGGTCGCGTCCTCACCACTTTCGGTGCCATCTCCGCCGTTGTCGAAGCTCTCAACGCTAACGGCGCTGCCCGCCTCGCCAACTCATCTCTTTCCGAAGATGCCCAAGAAACAGGTCGATCTCTTCTCAAAGCCGCTTTATGTCTCCAACTCGGTATTCTAGGAGCATTTGTCTTCCTCGCCGCTTATTTCCACTTGAAATGTCACAAACATTCGCTTTTGCCGAGTAATTTGAATAATGTGTTAATCACACTTTATATATCGAGTGCGTTGATCGGAACAAGAACGATATATCGCACAGTTGAATATTTCAGTATCGCAGATTTGCATCCCGAGCCCGGGAGGGAAGTTAGTGATATTAGTCCGATTATTCGATATGAATGGTTTTTCTGGGTGTTTGAAGCTTCGCTTATGACTTGCAATACATTCTTGTTGAATTGGAGACATCCGATGAGATTTTTGCCGAGGAATAATAGGATATATTTGGGGAAAGATGGGGTGACGGAGATTGAGGGAACGGGGTATCAGGATGAGAGGAGATGGTGGATTACGTTTATTGATCCGTTCGATGTTTATGGGATGTGTAAGGGGAGAAATATGCATAGAGGATTCTGGGAGCAGGGTGGTGTGGAAAGCATGGGGCAAGGAGGCGCGAACCACCAAGTGGAGAGGCAGAGAGAAGTGAAGGAGGGGCATGGAACAGGCGCTGCATGATAGTGAAAGTGAATTTTCCCATGGTTAATTTCACGCTCCGTGTATTGTGGATGGTGGAAATCATAATAGAGCATTTCTGGTAAGAATTATGAATATAACATTAATGGTCAAAAGGAGGAGGAGACCATTTTAATTTGATTTAGGATCTTTGATGATCTCTCCAATGATACGAAAACGCGGAAGCTTCGGTTGGTCATACCTTGACCTTTTTTTGGTAGAGAGCGCTTTCCCTCTAATACAAATCTAGTGCCATCTCTACTTTTCGTTTCAGTGATATTTTCCTGGAGGGTTTCTTCACTATAGCTATGTATTTCATCGATTACTTGGTATGGCAATATTAGATGTAAATTTCTAGGATTAACCAGGCATTTAGACCATCATAAATTTCTTCCCAGTTGAATTTGAGAGGCATTATAGACACTTCATCAGCGATGATTACTAAGATTATTGAAATGTGCCTTGTGAAAACTTAACTAGTTTCTACGTACAATCCATATGTTTCATTGTAACTGGAGGTGCGGGTTGAAAAGTCACTTCTAGGCTCCACTCTATGAAATATGAGGTGATATTAGCGCTTTGGAAACTTATTTTTCCTGGCCACCTAGCTAGATATGGATATTTCTGTATAGTAGTCTGATAGAGTGACTTTCTCGAATCACTCGACTTGATATAATACAGCCTCGAGAAGGCTTTCAGTCATGTGATTGTATTGCTCGCCATGGCGCTGATTAATAGCACTACTACTTCTGTAGGTTTTTTGCCGACCTTCTGTATACCCAGCAATGGCCTGTCAAAAGAAAATCTAGGAGACCAGCGACTATTTCTTTATAGGAAGTCCAACCATCTTTTCCATACTTCTACAAAGCCACTTTAACCAAAAAGAAATCTTCATGATCCTTTTCACCAAAGCCATTTTTGAAATCTCTGTTATCACATTTCTTGGCGGAAGACTCGAGTTCTCTGGGAAATCGTTTTTGGCGGAAAAAATATCTTCAGTAATATGGTTGGTATCAGGAAGAGTCTTTTTCACCACTTCAAGAGGTTATATGAGATTTGAAGCTCCGGGTGCTAAAGTTGAGGATCAACTTTGTGTTCTTGGAGGCGGATGAACTCCCTTTGTTCTTCGAGATCATAAAACTCATTTTGAAATCATTGGCGATTCCTACCTTCATGGCATGATGCAGGGAGAGACGCTGGATTTGGGCAAATCGAAAGTAACGAGGTTTGAGATACGCCGGTATTTATATAATCAAAACCGAAAGAGAGCTTTACAATCAGCATTTTTATTTTACGAAGGATTAAACCAGAAGCTTAAGGTTATGTAATCCGTAGATTTTGGCAGTGTCCCGAAAGCGCATCATTTTATGTAGCCGTTGCGATGGCACTGCTCAATATTAAGCCCCTTCCCAGCTATAGCAGAAGAGGATAGATGGTCAACCCAGTTCTATGATGACCTTATCTATGACAGAGACTGTAAGGGAAATAGTGACACTGTGCCAGCGAGCGTGGTATGTACGGCAATCAGAGGCAGCATTACGCGCATCTTACACCAAACTTTTCCGGATTCTCCTCACACTACTCGATGTACGCTACTATATATATCTTTGTTAGACCTTTATCATTGATCGGATTCCAAAGATTTTCGAAAAGCTTCCAATATTGACAAATTTTAGAAAATCCCTCGAAGAAGAATTAAATCCCAAGAAACTAAAACGTTTATGTGAGATACAGAGGTTGGTTTAATCTGGTTGATATAAGATAGGACTCATGTGGCTATAGGACGAACGTACTGTGTCATTGGGTGTAATCACAGGCTCTGTTTCTTGTAAGATTTATATTGGTATCGTACTCCTCTCTAAGAGAGGTCTGTAAGATTTATATTGGTATCGTACACCTCTCTAAGAGAGGTCTGTAAGCTTTGTAAGCTTTGTAAATCACTGCCGGGCTTTTCTTCTTCGTAATCATCATGAAAAGAGTCCATGACATCAGTTTCTTCGGAGGAATCATCAGGAAATAGAAGATGTGATTCGTCTGGCCTCTCACCAATAGCGTACATTTTGGTGTATAGTCGGGCGTTGCAACAATATTCATCATAATTGTCAAGATAAGTGTGCGCAATCTCTGGCACTAGAGGATTATCCACGTCTGGAGAAGATAGAAGACCGCATAGTGCGGTGAGTAGTGCTCCAAGTGACCAGTTGAGCTTTCTATCACTTCCCAAGAACCACTTGTCGTTTTTATTCAGAAGTTTTGAATACTTTTGAAGCTGACCATCGGCGTAGCAAACATATCCTTGTGGGGATATATTAGGATGATGAATTTTAGTGTTGAATCTCATGAGTGGCAATTGGCGAGGGTATCGATCAGTTATTCTGATAGTAATCCAGAATATTCCTCCTTCAAAGGGCGTCTCGGGGGGCCCCTCTATACTAGCAAGTATAGTATTCAGACAGTCATTGACAGGAATAGCGCTCATAAATGGTACATTCGCCTGGCGGATATCACGAAGCTCGAGAAAAACTCGCTTCAAAGCTGCAGTACCAGTATCAGCATTCGAAACCAACTTTCCAGAATTATGAACCCAGTATTCTAGATCCTGGTTTTTAGTAGCAGTAAGTCGATCTCCATTGTGTTTATCGCCGTCGGAGAAGCTCAGATGCTGGCGGTACCCAGTGACAGCAATAATTCCTTGCATAAGACGGCGGTTCTGTGACACTTGGTCTGTAGAAGATTCATTGGTAAAATCATTATCCAAAGATGCTGTTTCATGAGAGACCGGCGCTGAAGTTGTAGGCGAAATTTTAGCGGATGGTCTTGAGAGGCTACAATTTTTCCCAGTCTGGACACAACTATAACATTGAAGTACTTCATTATTCGTCACACATTTCTTTTCGTCGTGAAAACATTGTTCACAAGTTCTGGCGGACTTTAGAAGTGCCCTTTTTGTCGTGTTCTTGGGGAATTGCAGCAATCGTGGCCAAGCTCCAGGAGGCTGCGGAGCCGCGGAAACCAGACTGTCGATATCTTGCGATGGCTTTGACAAGGCAGTTTTGAATGATAAACTCGAGCCGTAAGTAAACGATGATTTTGTGATACCTCTGGTTGTATACCCATTTCCCTCAAGTGTGAACATACGGCTGCTTGCAGTGTCTGAAACAACTAGACTAGCAGAATCTTTATGGCTTGAAGTAGCATCTCGGAGCAATCGCAGACTTTCCACGTCTGATATGATATCAATTTCTTGTCTTAGTCTAGAATGTTGATCTTTTAGAAGACCAAGAGACACAGTTATACTTTCAAGCCCATCAACATATCTTTTCAGTCGTTCAATTAAGCTTTCAAACTTTCGCGCATCATGCACCGCCCAGGAAGTCACCTTCCAAGCAGACGTATCTTTTTGATGTCTTCTTATTCGAGATTTGAACCGATCGAATGAAGTCTTGAAGATTTGCATACCTTGCGACGTTGATTAAGGAGTTGGTGATGTCTCGCCATACTTTTTATTGATCTTAGCTCCTTCTTCGAGCAGCGACTTGATATTGTTGAGAATTCTCTCTACCCCTGGCCGAATGTCGGGTCTGTCGATGTTCTCATCATACTTCAAACGTATGCCAGTATTTGGTTCAGGGATTAATCCTACAGACTCGCCCCAGAGCCCAAATCGAGCACGCTCCAATGAGAACTATGCATGTTAGTGGAAGTAAGAGTCTTCTGAGAATGTTGAGTCATACCAAAGCACACAACTGCTCAAAATCTTCACTGAAGTTCTTCCCGGCGATAACAATGTCAAAACACTCAATACAAGTCGTGAACAAGGCTGCAACGCTGATTGCACTTAGTGCAAGCCCAGCCAAACCTTCCGCTGCCCCGGACATGATAAATGTTTGCGCTTAGTCGAATAGATTAATAGATTGATCTCCTTTTTCTATGCCGCTAATCATTTAGAACAAGAGAAGTTCTTGCCTGAGAAGTTGAATTCCAAATCAAACAATATTAGAAACTGCTGAGCGGGGAAGTTCTTGCAACTCAGCCTCAGTTTTTCGTCAGCCACGTCATCAATGAAGGTCAGTTACACCAAACGAATCACTGCCATAATCAAACACCACAAGCTCACAGTGTGCTACAGATGTCAACTTGACATCAATTATTTATCTAAGTTGATGTTTGATTTGAAGATCTCGAGTAACTAGTCAGTAGATACTTTTGATTCTCAGATCGACCACTTTGAGATGAAAATCGAGTGAGCAAGCAAAAGCAAGCACAAATGTCAGGCACGATCTGTAAATTTTCCACCAACGCAAATGGAGACACATCGTCACACCTGCGACCGAGGACTCTAGGTCAACTATTTGGTGAAATGAGAAGGTCTAAGTCCCAAGGTACATCCGACTGAGAAAACTCAAAATATGCCTCGCAGTCAACCCCGCAGATCCACTTCCCGCCTCGGAAATGATCCTCCAATCAAATGTCAACGATTTAATCTTCCTTCCGGCTTGACTGAAAGCACGGGGTAAAGATTCCGAGTGCTAGCAAGGGTTGAAATGGAGGGGTTCTGTGATCGTTCATCTGATATCTTTGTGCTGTTTCGGATGGTTGCATTTTGATATTGGCGTCGCGTAGACACTTCTATCACAGTGGGTGTGGTGCCGAAGCGATAGAATGTCATTCGCCTACCCGAGCTGGGTAGTTTGTGGGATAAACAAGCAAAGTCACAAGATTGATGAGCAATAGCCCATGCGTCATAAAAGTTTATCACTCCTAGAGCGCGATAGGTAGCTGTACCAGTGGCCTCTTCGATGTAACGAGCACCTGGTAAAACCTTTTGGCGCTCGCTCTCTCTGTCATGAAAAGGAAGAAAGCATCTGCAAGTCATGGGTGGAGGTTCTCAGTCCCATGTAGCCATGTTTCTTCGAGATAAGATATCTCCCGCATATGAAAATGAGAAGTCATGGACGTGCCTATCATTGCCTCAACAGCCATCTTGACAATATCAAAGATGTAATTGCGATATTTACATACATGACGAGAAATTATCGTACCTCGGATACAGATTTTGATTTCCATTCCTCATCATTTGTTTCTCCCATGTCTTTGCAGCTAAGTCCCAAGAAATGAACCGACTACAGATGCCTTTCCCAGTAGCCTTGATCACCAATAAATTTCCAATTAGACCATAAAGTCCGGGCTATCACATGCATGATTGGCTGCATGGAAGTGTCCTCTTACATGATCCAAATCATAACTATTGGAGAGAATTAGTTCGACTTGGAACTAAATCCCTATTAAGGGTAATGAGGAGAGTCGGCAATCATCGACGAACAAGGATGATTTTAGATGCCTTACCATCGGATATATATATGTGCACATCTTCGAACCATGTTCTTCAATGCCGCAACGAATGAAACGCGCTATCACTTACTTCTTTACTTATCGCCTTGGTGGCTTCAATATCAATCTCCACATACTCGTGAGGGTACATTGACTGCAAGGTACGAAAGTGGCTCTGCATACAATCCATATAATTCCATTTTCACTCTACCGCTCATCCATCCGAAATACAAAGTCAATAGACATACCTTCGGAAGATGGCTCTGATAGTATACATAGCCGTTAATTCCGGGCACCTACATAGAAGCGAACGAGCTTCGGCACCTCCGTGCAGGATCTCCGCGACTAAACAAAAAGGACCGAAATGTATGCCTACGATCTTCTTTGACAGACAGGGACAGGGAAGTTGCCCGACGTTCTACGGCGATGTACCCAGGTTCATTCGTTTTCACAAGTCGAACGAGGCGAAGGACACCAGAACTTCATTTTCCTGCGACGAAACCTCGTGTTTGAAAGTTATTAGAGGTCCGTTGAAGAGAAAGGAAAGGGGAAAACAAAATCTACACAGCCACAATCATGAGGAATTCATTGCTACAAGAAGTTTCACCATTTCCTTCGGCTCAAGAGTCTCACATCCCTTGCAAAAATCGTGTTTCAAACTATCAATTCAAAAGAATTTGGCTACCTAATTCTAGCTACATTCTAGCTGCATTCCATTCCCGTGCAAGATCTTCCCTCCGATCAAAGCTCTTCCCTGAACCTCCAAGTTCAGTCAAGCTTGATATTTGACGTCAAATATGTCCCGTAAATGTACTAGCTCATGCGAAGGTATCCGCTTTTACCCCGGTTATTCGTAGTTTTTGTACTCTCTGTCTTTGTTCCGTTAATCCGATATTTTCGCCTTATTCCAATGAAGAGTTTGTTTGAGGCCCAATTGTGCTCCGCTATATTTTTGATACGATTCAAATTTTATATTAGAAACGAATTCGTGTATGCGGGTGGAGTAAAATCGAATAGACTAGAAGGTTTTCGGACCGCTTTTTGTAAAGACAGTGAGGCAGGCGAGCTGCGAGTGGCAATCTTCGGGCCCGAAATGCTTCTAACGAATGGCGGATGAACTTGAACCTGAGGTTCATTCCATTTTCAACGATGTGTTTTTCTGATAGGTAGCTTTTGTGTGGAACTTGTTTGTGTCGGGCGTATCCATGTCTTCACGATTGCTGTACTGAGCAAGCCTTCCATAGGTTTTTGGACATTTCCCTCTAGATTCTTGTAGCACCGTTGTAAAAGAATGATGGTGCTCGCGCCCAAAAAGGTTCCTGAGGACTTCTGTCTGTCCCATAGATCATATTCAAGAAATTCCCTAGAATTTCGATTTCAATCCTCAGCCCGTACTTCTAGGTCTCGTAGTCGTGACTCTCTTCTGACAAGCATTTTCCCACTGACTAACAACGTAAGGCGGCGGCGGCGGAGTCTTCAGCGACGACGAGGCCGGCAAGCCAGATGCATCGTTCGAACTTACTGCCCAGCCAATACTTCTTGGCCCTCTAGGCATATCTCCTACACTATCCCACATCCACGGATCCCATACATCATTGTCAATACTATCCACCGTCATCATAGCCTGTTGAAGTTCCGACAACTCTCGAACTCTTTTAGGATCTTCGGTTCGTCTGGCAGTAGTTGGAGATGGTTGATATGACTGAAAGGTCTCAATACTGGTTAGTGTAGGACCGACACTTTCTGAAGTATCAGGTTCGGCGTTCCAATACGAAGGGGGTGTTGACCATGGTAAGTCATCTTCGCCGAGACGAAATCGTCCTGGTGTTGATGGTAAAGGTCGGTCTAATCGATCCATAATGTTTTGCCGAGGCAAATTCACTATCCGATGTTGTATTGGACTGCCAACAGCACTCATAGGGCTAACAGGACTGACTGGACTAATTGGTTGAGTTCTATCGTTCATTGTCGGTGGTGCAGATCTTCCCCTCCCTGGTGTTTCCATACCAATGCTCAACCCTCGATTCAAATCTCGCTGTTGCTGTAGTTTTTGCTGATATTGAGATGGATTATTAGGTTGAGGATGACCGGGTGTCAATATCGATGGTATTGGTTTGCCACCCAAATGTGTATTTGCTCTTGCTCTTTCCCTTTCCCTCATGTTCCTTGATGCGTACCTCAACGATGCCCCATGTCCCTTGTCGTTCTCAGACATCGAGACTCTGAACTCGACGTTGACGTAAACTCCTGGTGCAGTTGGCCAGCGGGATGATGATTTTTGTTGTGGATTCGGTGGATATGGACCATCAAATGAAGTTGACATTTTTGTTCTCCTCAAATATAAATCTTCGATAACTTATCGAATTTCAATGTTGGACAATTTTCCTTCGTTGGATTGTCAAACGCGCTTGTGGGAAGAGATTGGTTGGGGAGAGAGGAGTTTTATGGTCTTAAAAACAGCCGTTGTGTTGCAATCTCATGGGTAACAAGCAATTAGATGACGTGAAACCAAATAATTAAATTTATCACATCCGACAAACAGGACCTACTCCGCCCTAGTTGGAGAGGAGGCTTCAGGGCTTCTAGTCCGCTGTGCCATCGTAGGCTTAGTAGGTGTGTAACGAAGGATGCAACCTTTCAGGGATACAGAGGCTGAGTATGCCTGATTTCCTACGTTGGAATGAAAACAAATAATAAATCACGGCCATACCCAACTTCTTTCGAATTACCTACCTATGCACAAAGTGGAGATTACCAACATAGATAAGGTGCTTAGATTTGATCCACAGCATCGTCGTGTTCGATTAGATGATGGAAAATAAATCCTGTCTTTCTTTTTTCGCGATCTCGGATATGCACGAAAATGAGAGCTTGTAGGAGTTGCTCCAATTGACTCCTGTCTTAAAGTCAAATCCATGACATGATGGATTGTTTAAAATGATATCGTAATCATTTAGTCAATCAATTGTCCATTTAGATACAAGACTTGTTTGATGTTGTGTTTAAGGATAATATTGTAGGAGCATTTGATCGTGAATAATCTCGTGTTGTGTCGTCGTAAGGTTAAAGGGTAAGATTTAGTTCATGGTGATCCCGCCCCCCATCTTCCAGAAAACCCCCTTGGAAGGAGTGGGTCCGAAATGTCAAGCAAAAACGTAGATCATTCGCTACAAATACAAGCTCGGACGATTGGGCGCGTCGCTCTAGTTAAACGGGTCTACATAGTACGAGGCAATACGTCGAAGAGTTTGCAACACAAGATGGGTCTGTGGGGTCATGATTTGACTGTAGCGTGGAATAATTAGAGACCCGTCGAAATGTTGGTCACGATTCCTTCGGATCTTCGTAGAAATATGTCAAGCCACATCAGAACTCAAAAGCTTCTGTCAAGATCTTGAATGATGATGCGTATTACGGATGGAGCTTTACGACTCGAATTAGGACGCGGAATGTTTTTCGGAACTTTAATTATTGGCAGCCAAAAGCTCCTCAGGGGGAAAACCTACTTGCCTTATCCATATCCACAACGGTACAGTTTTGCGGCTGC